GGGCATCCTTGTCTTGTTCCTGATTTTAGCATGAAAGTTTTCAGTTTTTGACCATTTAGTCTGATGTTGGCTGTTGGTTTTCCATAGACAGCCTTAATCAGGTTGAGATAAAGACTTTCTATTCCAATTTTCTGTAGCGTTTTTATCATGAATGGGTGTTGGATTTTGTCAAATGCCTTTTCTGCATCTATTGAGATGACCATATGCTTTTTGTCCTTGACTCTGTTAATATAGTGTATTACATTTATTGATTTATGGATGTTGAACCATATTTGATGTCCTTTTGGACAAAGCTACTTCCATCTGTGAACCACACCTCCTTAGAATCTTGGTGAGGCATGCTACTGACACTGCCTGCTTGTGGATTAGCTCTGGGGTAGGTGGGAGTTTTGGAAATATTTTATTGTCTTCACACTCTTCCTCTCTTTCTTTCTCTCTCTCTCTCTCTCTCTCTCTCTCTCTCTCTCTCTCTTTCTTTCTGTATTGAGTTTTTAGGAGAATCATAGTGGAAAGACTTTGTTGCTGTTATGGAGATCATAGAATTCAATAAGCCATGGAGGCTACCTGCCCTTTGTGTGATACCACCCAGGGTGGGGAACCCTTAATCCCAGCATTGCATCCTTAATCTCAGCATCACACACCCTAGTTCCAGCTAACCCCAAAACACCCTGCCTCTGAGTGCAGGGGGCTTTGAGGGGACATCTAGATACAAGCCATAACATTCTCCAACTCTAAGGTGCTGTGTAGAAGGAGTCACTTTTGGAGTAAAACGCCATGCTATTTTTGCAGTTTACAATAATTGTGGGCTTTTCTTGGGGACAGACTGCTGGCTTGGTCTGTTTCTTCTCCCTGGAGCTGTCCACCCTTGGGGCTTGCCTTGCATCTGTGGAGACAGATCGCCATCTTCAGGAGCTAGAGTGAGATTTCCAGACTGCTTTGTCCTTTCCTCTGCATTGTGCTCCATTTTTCCAGCTTCTCAGTGGTTTCTACTTTGCCTGTCACCTCTCTTCCAATTCCTGGAGATCTACTTCAGCTTTTCTCTTCACCAAGTTTTGTTTTCCAGATAGCTCCATTCCAGGTCCCAGAGATGCTGTATTTTCCAGCTGACTGCTGCTCCATCATGTTTTCTCTCTTGCCTCCCTTTTTAGTCTTTCCTTTTTTAGGCTGTCTTGTTCACTGTCTGCTTTCTTTCCATTTGAATTTTGTTTACTTTTTTTTATTAGTCTAATGAAATTGACTAGATTTTCTATAAAAATATTTTCCCCTTCCAACCTCAATTCTTTTTTTTTT